TTCTTCTTTCTCTCTTCACGAGAGAGAAACTTTGGAGTAATATCGACCTTAACAACTCATTTCGAGAGTCTTCATAGAAATCACCTGATTCTTCGTGCTGTAGCGTTTCTATTCCATGCTGCCTGCAGCTGGATCCATTTCATGCTTAGGAGAGAAAGTTTCTGTTAAGTTGCCTAACTCGCAGTATCGTCTGAAGTTCAGGACCGTGTACACCTAACAGACACTTGTAATCAGACGTGAGACTGACTGTGGTTAATCTGAAAGCGCACAAAAAGAAGTGCCGTGGCTGATTTAAGATTTTGATGAAGAGAGAGCGAAATTGAGAGAACTGCTGGCAGAGTTGTCGGTTCCACGCCGAAACTCAATCCGTGTACATTCCGCTGGTGACTCTTTCAATACAGCGTAGCAAAGAAGCTGCCTTATGCATAACGAGAGGAGTGTCCGACTTTACCGCCTGAGTATCTGCAAGACAGAAGACATTGTAACATGGATGAGCGTCATATATATACGGGGAATTTTTATTCGATTCCTTTTAGCGGCTCTCTTCTAGAATTTTGACCTTAGGGTTAAAGGATGCGTCATGTTTACTAGTGGTGTGTTTTTCAGATGTTTGAGTAATATATTTGAGGCCTGCAGGTTACATTCGTCTCTTGACACTTGTATACTTTCATCGCTGTGGTGTTGGTGTTCTAAAGTTTACTGCATTTGAGGTAGGATTATTATTTGGATAGATTTCTCCTAACCAATATTTCCGTCTGTGTTGTCTTATTCTTTTCTTCTTAACGAAGAACTTCTACATAATAGGCCTAACTAGTGTTTTAAATGTGTATTCTTAACATATTTTTTGTCTCATTTCTCTTATTAAGAGGAGACAGAAACAACAGGAATTTTTTTCTGTGAACCACATGAAATCCAAAAATTAAACCCATTTTGCAAAACGGTTCACTAATTTTTTCTAACGTTAAAGGAAACTAATCTCATAATTTTCACTGCCTTACACAGGATTAGAACGCTGAAGAGAGAACTTCAATCATCCAAATTTTCTGTAACGGACTGAAATAGAAATTATCAATGGACAGCCGATACCACTAACATGAAGATATTTAAATGTTTAAAGTCTGGATTGATTTTATTAACTTCTCTCACAGTCATCTTAATAATATAAATATACAAAAAAACTTCTTCCAAACTACTATTTCTGCAGTGTTTCATGCTATGATATTGCCATCACAGGAAACTCGGATTTCTGGCTCAGGGCTACAGTGGTATAGTACTTCTTTTGGCTTGTTTTGGACTTCATCCATCGTCTGGTCTGTAAAAGACAAAATACCACGACGTTTCAGAGACTGAATCTGTCTCCGTCTTCAGGTGGGTGGGGAAGGATAAACCTACTCAGTTGGGCCCGTTAGAAAGAGCTAGTCTCAATCACTGGCCGCCTGTCACTTCTCACACACTCGAACCCACCCCCTTTGTCTGAAACTTTTCTTCTGCGCATTCAAGGTTACTCTTGGCCTTGTTCGAAGTTACGTGACACTTGCTATATACACGTAGTTCAAGTGCTGTGTCTGAGATGCACGTTTGCAGTTGTTAATACAGTCATTAATTTTATTCGTATCTTTTTCATCGTCAAGTGGAAGATAGCTTGTGAATTATGACAATTTGTGGCGAGAGTGAGCTACGGATTTTGGCCATAAAGTTGCGCAGTTCTTTCTACTCCTTCGCTTAAAATTTCGCACGCTGAATTGATACATAATGAATTTAGTAATTCGCACTGATAAAGCAGCAACAGCAGTGTACAGTGCTCAAATTTATGCTAGTCTGGAAATGAGTAAATGTCTGTTGTATACCCTCTACCAAAAACAATTCTTTTAATCTGCTCTGCCTAGAAATTACATGCAATTCAGTTATTCTATGGACGAAAGTAAATAAATTAAAAGAATGAACATTCGTTCAACCCAAAGTATTAATATTTCTGAATATAGGCCTATATTCGCCCTTAGTTCTTACGTGCGCGTGTGTGTGTTTGCGTGCGTGCGTGCAGTTACGCGATCTGAGTGCTGACGGAATGTTTGGTCGAGTCCGTGGCCGACTGACCTTCCCTCTGTCGGTAGATCCGTTACTTCTATAGACTCACGTGATTAAGTTGATTCTCATTTCTCATTGTAATGGATGATACCACTTGACATTCCGTACCGACTTCTTAGTATATGAACATTGTCGGAGATTTAAACCATAGGATAGGACATTCGACACTGTGTTGTTTGAAACAGAAAATACAGGTACAAGATCCTGCGAGGTAGAGTGATGGGAATTAAGTAAGCGGACTCTACTCGCAGGTGTTCGTTCATACTTCCATAATTGGGACAAGCGTAATACTCTGTAACGTAACTGAATGGCCGTGCCGTAGCTCAACCGGTCACATGCTTCTAACCGTCCAGGCCCGGGTTCAGTACCAGAGCACTTCACATAGGATTCTTGGTGAACAGAGAAGCAGTATGGCAGATCTCTGTCAGAGTACTTTGGGGTTCCCCTTTTGTCAGTTCATCTGTGCTCATACTCGTCTATCACAAGAGGACAGTACAATAAGTCCATTTGAGGCTTCACTGCCGAAGGACTCATTTTAATATTATCCTTACAACCTGAAAGAAGAAAGGGAATTCGATGAGCCGATTTATTGCCGACAGCAATTAGAGATTCTTTGCTCTGTTATTTCTAGCTCGAATGCCGTCTTTACTACATAATTCATTACTTAAATCTTTACGAGATATATTTATAGACTGCAAGGAAATATTCTATTATTAACAGATGAGGCAATTTTAAAGGAACTATTTTGTATTAGAAAGAAGACAGCAAATATAAATGTGTTTTGTAGCCATTCGTTTTGTCCATTGCATTTCAAATATCAGTTTATTCCTTGTAGATTTTCAAATGAGTAAGTTATGTAGCAGGTAGTGATAGGTTTCTTTATGAATTCTGAATTGGAAATGAGACCTAAATAGCAAGAAGCGAAACGAAGCTGAGGAAAGCTACAAAAATCCTCAGGATTACTGCTCTCCTGTTATGAATCAGGAGACCGAGATATTTATGATAGAGATGAACATGGAAAAGCGTATCCATAAGACTACAAAGAAACAGTGACATTATTTAGTTAAGGGAAACAGTTTTTAGATATTATTTTTATTGTAATATAATTGAAAGGACAGTAAAAAATGATATTAATTATTAATGATATTATGATAATGATATTATTATTAATGATACTGATATTAATGCGGATAGTGCTATTTAGTTTCATGCAGATATAATGCAATAAACCGATTAATTTGTGAAGTACTTAATTCAACTTGATTGTGCAGGTCCTTTCTTCAGTAGTTATTAGTTGGCTTACTCGTTGAACTATTCGACTTTTATAGAACCTAAACATTTATTATAAAACCCGTTGTAGCCAATTAAATATATGCCCTATATAATAAATTATAAATTATTCGAGAGAGAAAGTAACAGAATTTATGACATGAGCAATACTGTCACATCTTAGGGTTGTGACTATTAGACGGGTTACAGATTGAATGAATTGGATTTATTGACCAGTTACACACAGCACTCGGAACTATACGTAATTACAGCACTACCGCTGATTTCTGAACTTTACAATTCACTGCTGCAAACACTGGTGTCCTCAGTCTGTTACATTCCCCACTATCAGTTTCCTGGCAATGGATTTCAACACAGGGACTATAACAGTCTCACTTAATTATACACTCCAAATATCACTGTACTACAGCACGTGTAAAATCTTCCAGTCCCTGCCGGACTTTTAGCTCTCAAGGGAACTCCCTCGACTGCCAACTGCCAACTGCCAAATCCAGAACTCGCAGTCGATTTCTCTGCTGTAATTTCCATCTCTTCTCAGTTACTCGTATGTTCGCAGAGCACAACTTCTGACTGTCAATTCTCAGCTTACTCACAATATAACTATTTTACATGGACCGAAGAGGAAACACCGTTTCCAACAATAACCCCTATTGTTGTTTACCGATCCGTTGTTTAGAAACGGGTTCCTCTGTTGTTGGGTGTGTGTGTTCATTTCCGCGGGAAGCTGTTTACCGAGCCGTTGCCTAGTAGTGAACTATTCCAGCTTTCAGGTATCATGTCACAATATTATAACAACCGTTTCCTGGTCAAAACTTTTGTCTAGTGGTCAGGGCACTATCCCAGTGCTCGAATATATCTCAAACTCGATCCTAATTTTCGCTACCGATACAAAAGCAGAACTTAACGGATGTATTAATACAAAGGCGACGAATCGCCAGAAGACGGGGACTGAACCAAGCATAGAATCGACATTTAATATCAAACCCCTATGTCAATGGGCAGTACCTAAAAGTTATATAGCGACTGTCGCATGCCTTTAGAGTGTTACTAAGTTGTGAATACTGTGATAATTAGCACATCTTGTGTAACTTCTTAATTTTGTTTTAACGCATAAATTTCCATATATATTTATATAAAACTTATATTTTCCCTGTGGAAGTGCTGTTATATTGATTCCTATAGCAGGAGAGAGACTCATCTTCTGGAAGTCTTCATTCTTCAGGGCACTTTTAAATTGTTTCGTGTTCCAGAGAACGCCCTGCGCCAGAACTTCGTAAAAATCAATATTGTATGTGTGTGTTTTTTTTAATTGCTAGTGGGGTGGGACTAATTCCCTTATAATACGGTCACTTCTGGGCTATTGTACCAGCCCCAGATGATAGATGAGGGTGATTGTGGAGCAATTGGCGGAAAGAAGATTGGCAGGGGAAACCGAAGTACTCGGAGAAAAATTACCCCAGTGCCACTTTGTCCACCACAAATACCACTTTATCAGACACGGGATCGAACCCGGGCCGCCGCGGTGGGAAGCCAGCAACTAACCGCTTGAGCTATGGCGCGGCCTTGTATTTGTGGTTACTCTCTGTGAAACGCAGAAACAAATTTCCTTTATTTTCTTGTTTCAGCTGGCGTTGGCTGAGGAAGTGGAAGTGGTTGAAGCCGTGCCAGGGACGGTGCAGGGTGTGGGTCCCTCCCAGGAGGCGGCTGAGACAGGGGATTCCCAGTTAGCCCAGGACAGGGGTGACGAATCTGACATCTCAGGCTCGGACCAAATAGCTCTCGAGTCCGGCGACCAAGAACTTGGGGGGACGCAACCCAACCACGGGTATGCTCCTCCACAGAGGGGACATCCATTGTCTCATCCAGTGAGAGGCACATCTGGCCTCAGTCTTCCACCCCCTCACTCCATTGGGAATTCATTTGGAGGACCTCACCATGGAAAGCAACCAGTATTCGAACAGAATCTAGCCTATCATGGTCCTCCACCGCCTCCACCCCAGAAGAAACCCCAGCCAGAAGCCATGGATAAAATTTATGGAGATGGCGGGGGCGGTGGAGGCGATGCGTGGCCAGTCCCTATGCCCGATATGCCAAAGATCGTATCTCTGGATGTCAAATGCGAGAAAAATTTGATGAAAGTGTACATAGGATTTGACAAACCCTTCTACGGAATAGTGTTCAGTAAGGGGCATTATAGCAATGTAAACTGCGTTCATCTTCCTGCGGGACTTGGACGCACTTCAGCGAATTTCGATATCAGTATACACGCGTGCGGAACAGCTGGGAACACAGAGAACGGTCTGTATGGATACGGAGCAGATTCGGGCTCAGGGACTTACTTCGAGAACATCATCGTGGTGCAGTATGACCCTCAGGTGCAGGAGGTATGGGATCAGGCGCGCAAATTGCGTTGCACTTGGCACGACCAGTACGAGAAGTCGGTGACCTTTCGACCTTTCCCTGTCGATATGTTGGACGTCGTGAGGGCCGATTTCGCAGGGGATAACGTGGGCTGTTGGATGCAGATCCAGGTCGGGAAAGGTCCTTGGGCCTCAGAGGTGTCTGGACTTGTCAAAATCGGTCAGACTATGACAATGGTCCTTGCTATTAAAGACGACGACTCTAAGTTCGATATGCTTGTTCGTAACTGCATGGCGCATGACGGCAAACGCGCCCCCATCCAGCTGGTGGATCAGAAGGGCTGCGTCACGAGACCAAAACTTATGTCGCGGTTCACGAAGATCAAAAATTTTGGTGCCAGTGCCTCCGTGTTATCCTATGCACATTTCCAGGCTTTCAAGTTCCCTGATTCTATGGAAGTCCACTTTCAGTGCACGATTCAGATTTGCCGGTACCAATGCCCTGATCAGTGTTCTGACCCGGCGTCTCTCCTGCATGGTGGCCCAATTTCCGACACCGGTTATGGACCGCCTCCTCCACCACCACTGCCTTTGGAGGCATATCTTCAGGCGGCTGCCGGCAGACCCAGGGACGAGCGCAGGGTCAGGAGGCAGCGCCGTGAAACATCTTCCGACCCCGAGAAAGAGGTCGGCGTGAACAGGGTCATTCGAGTCGTGTCCACCGGTGACCTCACCTTCTCTCTAGATGACAATGCCAATAGCAGCGCTCCTACTATGGTATTCCCAGGAAGAAGTGAAGATCCCGCAGTGACGGGGCTGATATGCATGACCACTCCGGGATTTGCGGCCACACTGGTAGTCCTTCTTGCTATCCTCATTATATCCTGCCTGATGTCGGCCTTCCTGTGCGTCCGACTGCGTCCGTTCACTGCTTCCGGTAAAAACCTAGCTGTCTCTTTCACTAATCCTTCCCTCAACAAGAATAAAACTTCTAAGAGTTGCTTCTATTCGTAATACGAGGTGTTCTGGTCTAATGGTTTACTTGTTGCAGAGTATTCGAAGAACGAAGAAGAATCTCTTCATTCGAGTTCGTAAAGCCATCAATGCCCGAACACAAATTTAATGAAGACTGCAGTCTTGTACAAAGTTGGGCGGTACTCGGGTTGTTTTGCCTGAGATCTGAACGTTGGATATAACATACAAACAGACATGTATATTTAAATAGTATCAAAATATGATTGCAAGAATATCGCCATGCTGTTATATAATGTTTAATTCTTATCGTCGAAATTTTCTCTGTTACCAAACGGTATATTTTTCTTGAAAGAGAAACGTAATTATATTAAAGGAAATTCATACATAAGTAAAGCTGATTAATTTACTTTGTTGTACGGTCAACAAATATGTATGAGAACATTGAATAAGATCATGGCCAAACACAATCAGAAACAGGCTAGGAAGTTCCTGTAAATCTTACGGGTGTGCACAAAGGAACTCGACGTTTTGAAATATTCTGTACGGTTAAAGACCTGAGACTTCAATTTCGGAAGTAGGCTCTGTAGATAGGTTCTACTTGCATATTGCAATAGGCGGCAACTTTCATGCTGGCGTTTCAACCAGTCGTTACCGAAACGGGCCAATCAGCTCCTCAGAGTCTTCTTACTAGAATATTCTCTGAGTATGATTCACTTGCAATCCTTGCATCTGTCGGTGTTTCTTTTCAATTGCTCAATAATCTTATCTGATTAGTATGTTTACTCATCATATGTTCGTTTTTCTAACCGTGTTTCTAAGACTCATTTCATCCACAGTAGGCGTAGCAACTGGAGAAGGGTTAATTCGGGATACTGTGGCGCCAATGGTCTTATCTTTATGGTATTTGCGTTTGTCATCATCCCTATCAGCTTTTTGGTCATCGTTTTCTTTGCCACTAGCATTGTCATCACTATCTTCATTATCATCGCCTATATCACGACCTCATCATTATATTTATTTATTTATTTATTATTCGATTCAAGTCGATAAGTCAATTTAATCACAATTTTGTACTTTGAAAACCCGCTCAACAACTCTCTTCAGGGATAGTTCACCTTGGTGTATTGGTTAAAATAATCGATCTATTTCGAAGATCGGTTCAGTATGTGGGTTCGATAAAATTACATTCATGTATGTCATGTTATTTTTCAATTAATATGTACACATTAGTTTAGTGGTTCCGTAAATATCTATGCGGGAACGAAAAGTTTGTAAATAGATTTATCGGTGGGTTGCTCCCTTCGCAGCCCCGATCAGATGATAGTTGAGCCCAATATATGTGAAACAGCTGCTGCTGACTATGGATTGTTAACTAAACTGGAAAATAATAGTAAAAGTCAAATAAATTTCTAGAAGAAACGTCCCAAAAGTATGAACCTTTGGCTGCTGATTTTGTTAAGGAAAAACACCGACTTATAAGTATTTAATGTGATTAAAAACATGTACATTTTTTATGTCCAGCATTTGCAAGATATCTAGCAACAAGGTCGTTAATTTTGGGGCGAAATTCTTGTATTCTTTGTGTTGTCATTTGAAAGAATATGTAAGAGTCTACATTAGCCTGAGAAGTAAAGAGGAAGTTTGTAGGAAAGCTCTCCACTTCATGTACCTCTTGGTATTTTAATTCATAAGAGAATGTTCAGTACATATATTATCCTCATTTAGAATATCGGTAGACAATCAGATGAAACCTGTCATATTTTCTTTTACAATTTGTACAGACTTCGATGTAACATCGGATTCTTAGTTGTTTTTACAATCTTACATAGACTCTCTTGACAACCAGTAGACATAACTTCAACAAATCGTACACATAACGACTTATTTTAATTTATATTTCAGTTTGTGAAATGGCTCATTTTGCGAGAAAAAGGTGTGAGAGGTGTTCACTCAAGAATAAAGAGTTTTCGCGGAATAACTCTGAGCGTGTGACCACACCACAGCAGTTACTGAATATCACATAGCACTGATCTTCCTCTAACCTCTCTGTATCTAGAGTTATTCTCGGTATGAAGTTGGTCATGGTGGGCGGAAAACTTCATTCACGTCTTTGGGAAAATGAAGCCAGATTTTTACACAGTCATTGCAGTGGCAGGTCATTCTGCTTGCTTACGTGTTCTGTAAAGGAAATTGTGTTCTAGAGAAATCGTATTTTACTGTAAAAATAATTATGAATGAACCTTGTCCGAATATTTTTTTTTGTTCTCTATATTGGATGTAGGGCCATAGGGTTAGATCTAATTTGAATTATAAAATTTGATTCCTTAATCTCATCTTTAATATCAATATAATTAGTGCAAACTAATCAACGTGTTTAACATGAAACGTGGCGCTGGAATAGAAAGACAGAAATATCGAAATTTTAAGCTGTGCAACAAGAAGTTTTCTTCAAAATTTAAAGAAATAAAAATGAGAAAACAAGAATATCATATAAAAATTATAACAACAGTAAAATCAATATGACATCTATAGTATATATATTTTCACTGCAAAAACCGACTTTTATGGCGGGAGGTATATTTACAACAATAGAATTAATGTGGCATATAATATAAAATTTAATATCAGTTCAAATATACATTACATAAACCACTTAGCTGGAAAATGAAATTGCAATGAGAGAATAAACATAAAATTACAATAATTGGAAAGTGTCTTTAAATTTATGTTCTAAAAAGGAAAACTGTAAAAATATATCGCTTCTATTTCTTACTGCCGTGGGAGGGCCGCGCCATAGCTCAAGCGGTTAGTCGCTAGTTTCCCATCGTGGCGGCCCGGGTTCGATCTCGGATCTGGTCAAATGGGATTTGTGGTGGACAAAGTGGCGCTGGTTCAGGTTTTCTCCGAGTACTTCGGTTTCCTTTGCCAATCTTCATTCCACCAATTGCTCCACAATCACCCTCACCTATCATCTGGGGCTGGTACAATAGGCCAGAAGTGGCAGTAGTACAAAGGGACTTAGTCCCACCCCACTAGCAATAAAAAAAATACGGCCGTGGGACCTCCTAACGATAAGTTTAATAAGTACCGAATATATAACTTCCTGCTTTAAATTACTTATTGTCTTGTATTAAATCAGTGCATTTTGCATTAAAATATACCCATAAGATGCCCTAGCAAGCAGACAGAGACAGAGAGTTACACAACGAAACAATCTATGCAGGAAAGAAACTGATGATGCAAAAATATTATATTATATGATACTATATACATTTAATTTATTTTGGGGAAAAACCAGTTTAAGGCATGTAGGGGGACACTGTTTTGCCAAAACACTGTACCCATACGACTTTCCTAAACTTTCCCATGACGCTTAATATCAGTTGATCAATACTCGTATTTATATAAGATGAATGTATTCCGAGTGAATGTTGTTTTATTGAGGTAATTGTCAGTTTTATGTGAGATGGTGAATGAAGAATCAAAATTAATTTATGCAATGTATTTGTGTAGTATTTTCATTTATATGTGCATATATGAGAATGACTGGAGTGTAAATATCGCAAAACTAACAAATTGTACTTTGTGACTATATGGAAGCATTTGATGGAGAATAAAATAAAGTAATAAAAGATGAATATATATTGTTCATTTCTACCACACGTTTATTGGAGATTTAATATTATCCAGTTAGTGATTTTTCTTGATCTTCGTCTAATTAAATTGTTATTGTAGGCTGCAATAATGTCAAAAGAAAACTGCAGCATGTGTCAGTATTCATCAGAAACTTTCTTCTAGACCTTGTCCATGGAAACTCTTCTTGGGAAGTTAATAATCCCTCAAATGCTAGAGAAACTGTCCGCCTTTTGTGTACTTTAGAATTCCATTACAGTGAAATGTACTGTCTTCTTGGATGCGAGATAACGCAGTATTGCAGAAAGATACCGACATTTCAAAGGAAAGTACTGGTTCCGTCATAAGAGCGAGACTTGTAGCCTATTCTTCTATACTGGGATATTGAGTAACACGTTCCTGCGGAAAAGTGGTGCATATTTACCATGCTACACTCTGTCAAACCTCAGAAGACAATATCTTCAAATTTACAACTCTTAAGTGTCTGAAATTTTTCGTCATCGCCAAATTTTCCATTACAGTGTTCGCAAGGGTCGCCACTTGCCCTATTCTTAGCCAGAAGATTCCAGTCCACATATTCTCATAGCCTCCCTTCAGAATCCATTTTAATAGTATCATTTCATCCATGCGTATGTCTTCATGTTGTTCTCTTCACTTCGGGTTTCCCAACCAAAATTTTGTATGAATTTTTCTCATCTCTGTTTGTGCTGCATGTCCAGCCTATCTCGTCCTCCTTAATTTTAACGTCTTAGCAATAGCTGATGAGGAGTAAAATTTTTAAGGTACTCATTATGCAGTTTTATACAGAGTCCTGTTTTTATTTTCTAAAATTCAACTGTTTTCTCAAATATTAATTATTATGATAATTCAATTAAATTTAATTCAAATATTTGCTTATTTACTTGCTGAGCCCAACAGCCAGTGACCAATTACAGAGTAAATATGAACACAGACAGCAACAGAAATGAGACAACATAGGACAAAACACAGAGAAATAATAATAATAACAACAACAAGAAACGGGGGTATTTATTAGAGCGAAGTAGACATACTGTATCAGCCAATAATGTTGAGGATGGAACAATGAAAGGATGATGAGTGCCGGGGGCTTGGCCTATGTATATCAGGAGTTTGCCCACCCGAGTGCTGCTTTATCCACAGCAAATCTCGCCTGAAATAACCAGAGACTGAACCCAGACTCAGAGGAAGGAACTACTCACCTGAGGTACGTATCGACCAATGGATAGGTAAGTAGAAGCCTGCCGTGGGAATACAGATGCACACAAACAATCGCAGTCGTACAGACAGGATTCGCCATTAGCGGTGCAGGAGTTGACCGCTTTCAGCATGTCTTCCTGCTCTTCTGCATGTAACACGACTGACGCGGAGAACACACACAGGTTCCCCATGTCTGCGCACGCTGAAATCCCGAATGGTTATGATGACGATGTTAACATATTCCGATACGAAAGGACAATTGTATGATGTTTGTGATAAAGTATATGACACAATTAACTTTATTAGAACGTCTAATCAACTCGCCCATAGGTTCCGAGCTGAGAGCTACAGATGAGCGTGAACTTCCCTTCAGTTTAGGGGTGTATGCCTCGTAAAAGGGATGCATAGTAACGTAGAGATTTATCAGAGTTATGTAAGTTATGATCATGTCTTGTTTCTTATTTAGGAGCAACAGGTACTGAATTTGTGGTTAGTAATTATGTGTTATTTAATCATGTGTTAAAAAGGTAAAGTTGTCCCTCTGCCTAACTAATTAAGTACTATATCATGAAGGCGTATGGAGTAGTGGATGTATAGACCCACGCTTTCTTGACCTCGGCATTAGTTAGAAGTGAATGGTCAGCTTTATGCCCCGGTTGTTTTACCCCGGTGAAAGAGCCCCCGGCGGTACCCATTGAATAGGATGATGGGTTGACCGAGGTGCCGGTCTGGATAACATGGAGAAGTGAAAATTTTTACCATACTGGGACTTAAACTCCGACCCCTCGATCGTCTAGCCAGAAGTCAGTCTCTATACCGATTGCCTTATCCCGACTCACAAACTGAAATTCTTGGAATACAACGATAGCATATAAATGAACATAAAGGTAGTTATCATGGCAATTTTACCTACAGTGATTACAACTAATGTTCCTAATTAAAAGACTAATTGCAAAATCTATAGAATAATTATATTAATTTATATTGCACTAGTTTATGAGACATGAGCACTGGTAAACATTCGAGGATCCTGAATTTCTGGACTTTGTCCATCGTAAGGTTTTCCAAGGAGCACAGCGCTTCGAAAACTGAATCTGTTTCCGTCTCTTGGTAAAAGGGTAAGAGCACCTTCTCTGCTGGTTCCGTTAGAAAGAGCTAACTAAAGGAGTAAGTGCCTCCTGCTCTTTCATCTGAGGGCGGAAACATATCCAATTTTCCAAAAGTTTTTCTTTAGAATATAGGACAATGACCAGAGTCCCAAAACCCAGTGTTCCTGAGTGCTATACACCATTGTTAGAACCCTCTAGAAACGATGGATAAACATTGCCGCTACCAGCTACTTGGCTGCCTTGAAGGGACGTTTTCCGTTTGATACAAATTTCATTATATTCTTAAAATATATTTGAAAAATTCATCTTAAAACAACCCCCGTTTTAAAAGCTACCCTGTTTTGCTTTTCTTGTTTTTTCCTTTCGCCCTATAATTTCTTGATTTAAAGCCCCTATTATTAGGACAAGTTCGTTGATACTTAAGTACATTTTTCACTTTCTCGTAATTCATCTCCCTAGGGGCCAGACATTTTGCATTGTATTTACCTCTCCCTCTATTAATTCACACTATATATGCGATAACTGGACGTTACTGTTTAAACTTTGTATTAACGTTAATACTCTTGCTTGGTTAGCAAATCCGTGACGGCAAATTGAATAGGTTACGGCCTGACTACCGATAAATCGTGTTTCGTTTCCCTACAAGTGCAAGATATTTTACTTCTTTGTACAGTGTCCAGAATGAATCTACGACCACGAAGCCTCGTATCCAGTGGATATCGAGGGCTATTTTTGCGGGGTGAAAAATCCATCAAGTAATGAGATTAAGAATGCGTGGAGCTACACCTCAACTCTCCCATCCGTCTTCATGGCTGATGCTTTAATAAGTAGAGGGGACAATTTAACTTTGCTTCACTAGTGGTGACTAGTTACTGAATTGAAAGCAGGTTTCATTCATATTCGACCTACGAACTTCCAGACAATGAGGTGCGACATCTGTCACGCTCTGTAGTATTTATGTGCCAGTCCTACGTACTAATTTCAACAGCGAACCAGTAGTGAATCTGCGCCCGGCCATTGACTCAGCGGTATATACGTAACTAGTGGCTCCACTGACCCACAGGCCTGCGGCTCCAAGGGACAAGTGTCGACCATTTCCGCGTACTGCGTGTTGACATCCTTAACATGCATATTGGCGCTGTTGTAGGTCGACAAGGTTATGGTCATGGAGGACATAATTATGAATGTTATCCTCATATTTAATAGATACTGTAAGCTTTACCACTAGGCATATGTTCGCAGAGGTGGGTTATGTTTAGTCTCGGCTAGTTAGCAACGACGGATATACTTTGCCTACTTTCCTTACGTAAGGAAAGGCGGTTTGATGGGTATCACTGCGCCCGTAGAGCCGTATTTTTAAATATACCCTAAAATTTTCTGTGGTAATATGTGTTCGAAAAAATTCATATATGCTATAAATAAATATGTACTTATAAGTGGCGAAGTCTACCTTTCGCAGATAAGTAACCTACAGTTAGGTACGTGAAATTTTGTATGGAGGTAGAATCTAAACATAAGGACAATTACAAATATGACGATAAAATGGAAAATTCGACGTCATGTCCAACATATTTCATTAAGTCGGAATTTCTGTCATTGGATACTCTGAACATAAGTTCATGGTTAATTTTATAATTTCCTGACTAAACTTGCTACAATCCGACAAATATCTTCTGAAAATTGACAGGTATGTTATTTGTTGATTCTTGGACTGTTTCAACCTCAGCGCATTCTTAGCGTCAAAGGATACCTTAAGATGATCATAAATAGTCAATATGTATACCTAAGGATTTGAAAACGTGATCATCCCCGTTTCAAGATTCTATTAAAGAAATTACTTGCGGAGGCCGGGGAAAATATAACAAATGCAGGTCAGGAATATCAAGTAACTTAATCAGGTGTCGAACTGAGGTCCTCCTGAATACAGATCCGTAGAGTTACGGATATAAAGAATTGATTGTTTCATTCTAGTTAGATGGGCAGTGGGACACTCTGTCGGATGTATTAATCCAGTCCAACCTAGGAACCGACACAGTCCTAAGGGCTAACTTCGAACCCCATGATGCCATAAAGTGTCATTACAATGTCCAAACAGATGAATAACGAATTCGTCACAGAAATTAACCATAATATCGAAACAGACACGAATACCAGAGATGAGATGCATGGTTTTATGTAAATTTGATTACATGTAATACTTTCAGAATTTGTAATCTTCTGAAATTTCAGTGGTCTCTGGTTTAAACATCCTGCTAATGTGGTATGTCTTATGACATTAAATCAGTAACACTGTAACATTTTCAACTATGTGCTATATATTGAAATTTCACATACATTTCGTTTACTGTTCAGGCAACGGTTATAGTTTTTTATTCTTGCGAACCTCGGGAAAAAGTTTCTTTTTTTAATTCGCTTAGTGGAGGGTGGAGTCCAACTGGGTCCACTCGGCACGGCGGCCACTGATTGGCCTATTGTCCCTGCCCCGGGTGATTATGTTGATGGAGAATTTGGTGGAATGAAAATTGGCAGGGAAAACCGAAGTACTCGGAGAAAGTCCGCCCCAGCGCCACTTTGTCCACCATAAATCTCACTTGACCAGACCCGGAATCGAACCCGGGCCACCGCGGTGATAAGTCAGCGACTAATCACTTGAGCTATGGCGCGGCTCAGAAAAAAGTAATACTGACATCTCTTGCAGGGCAGATATCGAGAAGATAGGTTAATCGATTTGTACACGTGTAGCTCTGCGTCCGCCTTAAGCTGTTCCAAATCGACTATATTAGTTTCTTTTCTGTGATGTGAGTATGGTTGAGCACTCAGTGTGTAGCGGTGTATAGGGTGGTTTCAGTGGAGCTGTGTGCAAAGTGCAACAGTGTAAGATATTCCTTTTGAAGCGTTTAACGAAAGTTGTATTAGAGCTCTGTTTCAATCAAATTGTTATACGTGTGCATCAGGATGTGATGAAAAGAGACGGAGCAACTATGGTAAGTTATATATTTTTACTTCGTAACCAAGCCTAGCCGAGGCAAGTAACCTGAGGCTGAGTAGGTTGGTTTAGCGGTGACATTATAGACTTATATGCGGGTGGTGCTCGGTTCGAATCTCAGCTGGAATACCAGCTATCCGAATGATTTTTTTTTTATTTTCGTCAGCCCGACCAAGCAAATGGCGGTTTCCGGTTCATCTGTCATCCCACCAGTACCCGCTATGTAGTCTTAATACTCGCAGGGTCATCAGAATGCGGTAATAACAGACCCCAGAAAGCTAGCCGGAAGTGTAACTGAATAACACATATAATTTATTGGGGGAAAATATAAGTGTTATAAAGAAAAAGAAATTCTATTAGACATCAGAGAGAAGGTCGGTCTAGAAGCAAAGGAACAGAAAACTAAGTAACCTATAGCATATGCTCACACACCTTCGCCATTACAATATCACACCAGGGACATAGAAAATATAAAGGCTCCTGATGGTTCAAGGCCACTCCTGCTCCATTTGATCTACTGTGTTCCATATAAATCTTACTTACATTTTGCTGTTTCTCTTGCAACCGTTGTCAGTGAAAATGAAATGAAAGTAACTAACTCCCTAGAACTGTAACGCTATGAGTACAACCCTGAACTTGTAGGTTCAGCAATCAATGTCCGTGTTCCGAACACAAGCGACGATTACCAAGGCTCGCATTCTCACAGTAACTAAAGGAATCTTCCTTCCGTCTGAATTTATGGGTCTGCAGGTATGTGCACTTGTATTTAGTTAAAGTATAGAGATATTTTTCAGATGTCACAAAGGGAACCTCAAATCTCGCCATATTATAATATAATTGGTCGTGATGTTTCAAGGGATACATTAATATAATTTAAACTTTGCTTTCATTTTGGCGTGTTCGCACGAATAGTTGTAAAAGAACGTCAATTGGCTTCTCCACGTCTGTCTGTCTGTCTCCATATAACCCCTTGGAAACTGATAAAGGGATTTTCTTGAAATTTGATGTTGATGGATTCTATCAAGTCTTGTCAATACTTTCGAACTTCTTTTGGCTTGTTTTGGACTTCATCCATCGTTTTGTATGTAAAAGACAAAAGACCACAACGTTTCGGAGATTAGATCTGTCTCCGTCCTCAGGTGGGTAGGGCAGGATAAACCTACTCAGTAAGTCCCGTTAGAAAGAGCTAGTCTCAATCACTGGACTATCTTCGAAGTTTAAATTATTTGGGCTAAAAATAACAGACACTTTACACGAAGGCATACATGAGCGTTGGGATTTTTCTCGAGTGTAACTCGCTTAAATATTTGTGAGAGTGAAAAATGTTATGAGCAAAAGTTGCGAAGAAAACGAAATATTTTTTGCTCCATACAGGTTTTCTGTTAATCTTACTCGTATTGAGACAACTGAACGAAATTGTCAGAATTGTTACGATTTGCACACATTTCTTAAAATTTAAAGGAGGTTATGGGTATATGAACTACAGTTTCCTAAAATTTTAAACAAATATATTGTGTCATCAAAAGTGGCATAAAGAAATGAACCTACATTGTGAAGACAGTAATTCATGATCTGCAGCAGTCATGGACGGCGTCAGCATTTTATCCAAAGGTTGGAGTTGGGGGAGGTACAAAATATGCTTATGGCATACATTTATGTCACTTAAGGCTATATTCAGAACTGTCTAAAAGTATTCAGGAAGGAAGAATATTTTTTTTTGTCGTTAGGGATTGATATATTTACTTTTTTCTGTAAATTTTAATTTTAAGCACACCAGTTACTGAACATAACACCTACCTTAAAACTGAACAACTGTGTATTTTGCCCAGACAGTGTATTGAAGAATTTTGTAGGAGTCACAGAATGAAGAGAAATTATTTCCTTGAGTGGCAGGAAGTCGTAATAGAGAAGCAATGCTTGACGTGAGGCAAGATCTTATGTTTTAGATACTATTTAGGGAAATTTCAGTCTTCAAAGATTTAATGTAATCTTTTGCTCAGAATTCTGAATTCTGATCCAACTACAGTGTAGTATATGTTTGGAAAACTATCAGCTATCACCTATATGTGAGATATTTGCTTAAGATATACATGAGATACCTTACTTGCACCATAGCTCAAACGGTCCGGGTTCGATCCCGGGTATGGTCAGTGGGATTTGTGGTGGACGAAGTGGTGCTAGGGCAGGTTTTTTCCGAGTACTTCAGTTTGCCCCCGTAATCTTCATTCCACCAACTGCCCCACAATCACCCTCACCTATCATCTGGGGCTGGTACAATAGGCCAGAAGTGGCCGCAGTACAAGGGACTTAGTCCCACCCCACTAGCAATAAAGAAATACTTACTTACTTACTTACTTATGGAGCTAAGCCCTTCTTGAGAAACCGTAAATTGTGCATCCATTCAAGAATTTCCCAGCATTTCATGGAACCCAAAGTTTCATTACCGTGTTCACAAGAGCCCTCCACTGGTCCCTATCCTGAGCCAGATCAATAAAATCCATACCATTCCATCCAATCTCTCTACAATCCATTTTAATATTGTCCACCCACTTACGCCTTGGTCTTCCCAGTGGTCTCTTTCCTTCTGGCTTTACCACCAGTATCCTGTATGATATATATGAGATACAGAATGAAAATTCAATTCAGTTGAGGAGAATTCAATACAATAACATGATATCTATTTTATGATGTCTTTGGGAGTTTAGAGATATACTGATAAGTATATCTTCATCCTTTTCTGAGAGAGGTATCTGGGTTAGTGAAGATATCGCTCCAGCCTTTTTATGTAATAATATTTATTGATTTTCTTTACATTAATTAACATGGTACATGTTTACTTAAGAGTATAGGCCTAAGAGTTTTGCCTCCAATCACACCAATTTCGTTGTAATACCAAGATCCTTATTTCAGAAAATAGCAAACATGATCTGAAGCTCAATTACAGTATACTTTAATATACTGAATTCATTCATAAGATGTATAACAAAATTATTGTTACGTATTCTAATCTACTAAACAGAGTTAAAATTCCATAGGAATAATCATTCAAGATCATATTGTACGTTCCTACTGCATCTTGGGGAAAAATCAGCAGCAAAGAAAAATGTAAGGTCATTTATAATCAGAAATTATTTACAAAATTACATTTAGTCATATACTTTAATTTTACTACATAAACTATTTTAATTAACTCTTCTTTACATAGTAAGTATAAAAGGGAGTTAAATATTATAATCTTTGTCCATATTTGAGCAACGGAATAATGAGCTACAGCAAACCATGTCTTTGACAATTTATTTTTGCAATGTTTGTTGTACCATGTAACAATTTAAACATTCAATCTATACTAGTTTTACATAATATTATATATAATTACAAATATGTCAAAATAATATTTTAATAATAACTTTAATTGATGTAGTATGAGAATCATGCCCCACAAACAAATAATCACCAGGAGATTCTGCTTTTAATGAAACTCTAATATGGTAGTGTTCTTCTTACACAAGCTTATTTGACAAAGGCATTTATTAAATCCTATGATAAGCAGATTTGAAACATGAAAGTAATTGTTGCTGGTTCATTATTTTCTTACCTTTAAAGACTGCAGATATCTCAGAGAACAGTTATTTTCTATTTATTTTTATGCAATATATATATATATATATGTGCTCTACTGTATTTCATATTCATATCATGTCAGTTAGTCTGCTCACATGTCTGTCTTCTTTGTCCGCTACATCTGTCTGCATCAGCTCACCCCTCTATTAATTCCAGATTATGTTTCTGGTCTTATATCTGCCATGTTCCTCAATTCTAAATTTATTTTTACATTTTAAAGAAATTTGATATTAGAAAATCCAAAAATTATATTAGAATAACAGAAAGTGAGTTATCTTCATCTCTTATGACACAGGTTTATTACAGGAACTTAAAAACCTTTACATTTTTCCTAAAATACAATATGCTCCACATTAAAAATTGTTTTATACAAAAATATAGAAATTAAATGAAATAAACATTTTAAGTTCTGCACATTTTTAAACAGAACAATTTATGACGAACTTGAAAAATTTATTTCCTATATTTTTAACGCAATTGCCTATTTTATTTTTATCCCTACTCTCATTCTTAATCATCTTCTAGTTGTCATTGTTGGTGTTATTGTTGTCTTTTGTCATTGTCATTGTTATCACCATTGTTGTTAATTCTGTTGTTTTATATATACATAGAACCCTCCTTTTGCATCCGTATACCTATCTTCTCTTCTATGAATTTGTACATTCAGGAAACTAATGGGTTTATATATGAGCAGGATAAAAATTGTGGACCATTATATCATGATGGTGAGATGAAAGCTATCCTTGATACCCTATCCCCCTCTATCTCTCCTAACTGACCTCTTGCCAACTCTTATACATATACAAGAAAAATGTGGTAGAAACCTGTATTGTCATACCAAATTTTGCTATTTGTCAGTATTGCAGATACTACATTCTATTTTATGTATAAAAAACAGAGTGATAATGAACTTGTATCAGCCACTTTACTTTAGATTTTAGAATTTATGTAAAATGACCTTCTTTCATGCAGAATAGGACTGAATATAATCTAAAATTATGATTTGTGGAAGGAATTACAGGCACAATTCACTCTTTCAGTCTATACTCTGCATTATCAATTCTGAAGAAATGGACTCCAAGCACATATACATTAAAACTAATACTTATGGTATGTTAAAGTTTGGATTTTAACCTCTAATTTCAAACAATTAAGCTTAAAACTTCAACTCATAATAATGGGTTGTAAAATCTATCAGTGTACCAGCTCATGGACAATATTATAACATGGCAATGGTCACATTGGATGAAGAAATGTAGAAAAATGAGCTAGTAAGTGAATGTAAGAGATATGTACATAAAGACCGCACTGCTAAACACAAGAACTAATTTTTGGAAAAGGAAAGACCCAAAACTTATTAATAATTGTTGTATGTTGCAATACTTTGGCATAATTTGTTGAGCCTGATGGTTCTCTTAGTGTTCAAATAAATCCTATCAGTCCATTCAGCTACAATGGCTACTTCAAAATAACTGCTTTGATATAAAATGTTGACCAGACAAAATAGAACCTGTTTTAATTTATTTTCAACTTTGCGATAAGAGAATTGTTTAAATTATCCACAGCAACTTGAACTTGTGGTTTACAGTTAAATGTGACCGTGTTTTCTATATTTCATGTTTATTACCAAAATTATTCCTACAAACAGTGACCTGAAATTTCTGTCCTATAATTTTTATTTTCGCTTCTTAATCACCGATTTGTCTCATACAAACTATGTTGTATTATATATGATTTTAAACTTTCACAGCAATGGTATGCAACTAAGTCTTTTTGGGTTATTAGACACGCCAATGTGGAGTTGGTGTCTGATGTTTCAGACAATGTCTCTGTCTCCATCATCAGATAACATCACTGCCTACAAGTGACCAACATTGTTTGTGGGTGCTCCAATTCTAATAAATGACTCTCCCAAATATTTCAGGCTCCTGAGATTTATTTCAAAACAATTTCAAAATTAATTGAATGTTAGGACATTGGAACCTCAAATAAGTAAAATTAATTTCTCTAAAATTATCAGGATTATTTATTGGTAATATTTTTGGATATTCTGAATACAAGATACAGCTGAACTCGAATGTCTGATAGGAGGCATAGGCAAAACATCTGTGTTCCCTGAAATATATGCAAAGATACTTAAACAATTTATAGAATTACAAGAAAGAAATTCACAGAAAATTTTGCATATTGCCTACTCATAAAACATGCATCCAATTAGTATCAGCATTAAAATGTAGCAATTGGTCATGTACAGGCTTTCCTTAAAGAATTTTGGTTGCTACTTTTTATGTGTATAAAAGTAAAGTAAAAAAGTAGAGCTATTCCTGTAACAGGCCGTGAAGGCCAAGAGGGTTGTGAGACATTGAGGGTCCCACATTATCTAGACAATCGGCTCAAAGATGGCGGTAAAGTTGTCAGCCTTACACGCCGGCCGCGCTTTACTCCCCAGGAAAATTATTTAATTAATTCCTGGTATTTATTTCTGTTGGGGCACGCAGCAGTTGGTTGAGGGGCTATGCTACAAGCAGGTAGGTCACGGGTTCAAGTCCCGATGAGGCGTCATTGGATTTTCAGTTGACCTAATCCTTCCAGCCGCACTATGGCCATGGGGTCAACTCAGCCTCTAACAGAAATGAGTACCAGGAATTATTTAAATAATTTTCCTGGGGAGTAAAGTGCGGCCGGCGCGTAAGGCTGACAACCTTACCGCCATCTTTGAGCTGATTGTCTAGAAAATGTGGGACCCTCAGCATCTCACAAACCTATGGGCCTTCACAGCCTGTTACAGGGATCGCTTTACTTACTTTTTACTTTACTCATTTCTGTTAGAGGCTGAGTCGACCCCAGGGCCATAGTGCGGCCAGAAGGATTAGGTCAATTGAAAAAATCCAATGACCTCATCGGGACTTTAACCCATGTCCTTACTGTCATTTAACACCTTATTTTTCTTTACTATCTTTGCACAGTAACAGAAATTAGGTCTGTACACAGATCCTTTAGACAATCGTTTAGTTTGTTCAAATTAAAGTCTTGTTATGCAGCTGTCTGCTACCAATAGCAGCCAAACTACCGCAGTGTACAATGGACCTGTATTAAATGTTATCAAGTTATCTCAGTTTTGGTTTACTTTGAACCATACTAAGGGCCACTTTATGTAAGGTCTACATGGATTTTTATGTGTCTTCTTTTTTTTTAATTCTTGCAAATTTCAACAAAAATGAATTTTTGACACATAAGTTTCATTCACTTTAAGTCATTTTAAGGCCCAATGTATTAAAGGATGTAGTTGAACATTTATGCATATCCTTTGAATACTTTAACAGATATTAAAGATATTTTATATGTGGCACATCGAAGAGTATATTCACATAAGAAATTTTTTGCTTTAATTAATACACGTATTAAGGCTATTCAGATTAAAGACCCAAATTTACTTTCTTGAGTGAATAATGTCTTCAACTAATGTATGTGGATCGTAAAGTTCACATTAGGTCTAATGCAATATTTATGTCAAACTCTGAAATTTTTAAGAAATCCCTAGTAAATAAGCAGCATAAAGTATTAATTTCTAAAGTGTTTTCAATCTTCTGTTACCTCCCTTTTACCTAGCTAATAGGTAACTGCATATTTATAGACAGCAGACGGACACGTGTAAATGACAGACAGTTTCTGTTGCCATTCAAATGGTCTTTTTTCATGTGAGAATTGTCACTCTGTGTTAATTCTGTACCTTTTTCTTCATGCTGCTTCTCAAGCCTCTTATCAGTCTTCTGCCATCAAGTAATTTCCATCTTGGAAAAATTATGACATACAGCTCAATATCAGAATAAAATCCTAGTATTTCTTCTCTAGCATATATTGTACAGTCATACTGAAATTAAACTTTGTGAAGTCAGTGGGATGGAAATGTTTGTTTGTCTCTTGACAATGGAGAAAATTGAAGGTTATGAGTCTACAATAGTGTGGATATTGCCTAATATGAATTAACATGTAGCCATAATAAAATTAGGAAATACATCCCAACTGAAATTCAGAGACTATTGTTTCATTTTGTTTAAATTTTTCAAGAAATAGATCTACAACATTTAGGATTTTAAGAATTATATTTCAGATCTTATGATAACATTCTATATAATGGATTATAAGTCAAAAAGACATCACTGTATTTGAATTCAAAACTTTCCATTCAGAAAAAATGTGAGACTTGCATAGTATAGGTATAAAATCAGAATATTTGTTATTTAACTAAAACAAAATTATAATCTTATTTATATTTCAACCTATATGTAGGGCCAAATGTTTGACTTCCTTTATTTGATCCGCTGTTATGAACTTAAAATGCTCTAAGTGTGACCAACTCCACTGAGCGAAGACCTTCAAGGGAAGAAAACAGTCCCTCAGCTGGTCAAGAAACTCCCTGTGAAAGTAAAAGTAAAGTTGTTCCTGTGTTTAACCAATTAAGCATAAAGCCATGAAAGTGTATGGGGGAGCAGGTGTATAGATCCTCATTTTCTTGACCTCGGCAGTAATTGGAGGTGAGCAGTCAGCTTCAAGCACCTGCTGCTTTGCCTGAGGGGAAGCAGCCCCCGTGGAGATAAGAAATATCTTGAACCTACCAGGACGCGAAATCCAACCCTTCTGTCATTGAACCCATAGCCATTACCTATACTGACTATGCTATCTCAGCTCCTAGAAATTCCCTGTATTTTATTGAAATCAAAAGTTATTTATTACCGTGTTCACAGAAGTCTACCAGTCATCCATAACTTAGGATCCTGTTATAATTAAGCAAGGAAATTACTGTCACTACAGACTCTAGCAAAAACTCAAAACTTTATACTTTTTTCCTTTTCTATGTATCTACTGATGGCAGCGAGGGTTTATCCACAAGAATCGTAATAGTTCATTTATTGTCTGTTCCATTTCAGATCTATTACATCTTGAATTTGGTTGATAATTAAAAATAAACAGAAGAGAAGACCACAGAACTTGTAAAGGTAGCTCTGATGTGCTGTCAATTCTTATCAGTGATCTTCAGAAAAGTAACAGCATCTTTCAGCACTTTGTGTAAAAACGCATTATTAATAGTGAATTATGGATGGAAAATAAAACATAGTTTGAGGACTTAATGCCGATGTATTGAAAAGACCTAAACACACTAATAAGTTGTTAAAATAAATAACTATATAAATAATTGACATGTGTGATCGGTAAATGTACTGGCTTCACTGTGGTTGGTTATGAATCAGAACTCTCTCCCTTTCCACCAAACTGATCCAAACCTTGGAAGTGCAACACTCAGATAACACATGCATCACGTTTTGACTTGTGATATTGCACATAGCTATGCATTGCACAAGATGGTCACACAGGGTGACCTATGAAAATACTGTTGATGGTTTTGATGAAATGCACCAGAAAAATTCATTTTAGCCGCAGAAAGTACAGTGTTTAGCTCTCAAAATATTTGATTGTCATAACCAAGCAGTATTAAAATTTTTGTCATTGAAAATGGAGTGTAATTTTAATCTTTTCAAAAAGTCGTTTTGTATATGGGAAATTCGGATAAGGTATCTTCCAGTGCTATCAGACTAATTATATTCTTATAAATATATTACACATTTATACATATCAGTTAATAATATAATGCCACACACCTACACCCTCCCGCCCCCAATCTCCCACACATGTTCTACATAAATTCACCATATGTACTAGCACCAATAAACTTTTGAAGATTACTAAAAACGATTTAAAAAATTTCAGCTCTAATTAGATCATGGCTTTGGATTAATATTACTTTGATATGTGAAAGAGTCAAATTAAATTTAGAGGCTATATTACTATTTCAAATCTTTGAATTGTTTTTCATTTTGGTATTGTTACATTGATCAAGTGGGTTAGACATGAGAGTGAGCAACATATCTGCAAACACACCTCTAATAGAAGTAATGAACTGTAACAGCATAAATCACAGCTCTACTAATTCCTAAAGTTGGCAAGTTGTTCATTTCAGTAGCTTGCTGACAAGCTGAGAAGTGTCAATTTTCCACTAACAATTGCTAACACCAACAAATAATATTTATATAACTAGTTATATGATAGTCAAACACACTTATGATATATAATATGTAAGAGTTCTCAAGAAGATTTGCAACTGATGCAGCAATCTTATAATGATCAGGAAATCTCCCACTTGCTTAATGTTATACCATTCACTTCATTATCCATATATAAATAAAATTAAGTTTGTATGTAACTAACTTCCTATCAAGAACACATGTAGAATCTTTGGCCACTTCCCATCATCCCCATGTCTTGACGATGTGCATTCTTGAGTTCATTCTCCATTGAAAGTCCTCTATCTGCATTCAGAATAGTAAGGCACTGTTATAACTAACATCACCACAGAACAGTGTCTGGTCTATATGTAAGTGGTCTTGAAAGAGTTCCTGCGTGTCTTTAGAATAAATATGTGAAGTCATTATATTTCATTTGAGAAATATTTGTAATCCAGTTTTCATTTTGGCTTATTTGAAATTTATATCAAAATACGTTAATTGTTCTAATAAGAAATGCTACAACTTATATTCTGATTCCATTAATATGAATTACGCAAATAAAAACAGCATGACATATTTCTGGTGTCTTGCTACCTAGTTTATCAATTCAGTAACAAAGTTGAATACTCACATATGTTCAACTCTGGGATCCATTTTATTCATACTGAATCTGATCAAATTTCAGGATAATTTTACTGAAAGTGTTTCTACTCTTATGTAGAGTCACTTAAGTTTGCCAGTACTCTGGGTCATTTAGCTCATTTGATGTGGGCACTATGGACATTATTCAACCTTCTTGACTCGCCTGAGAGCCCTGACGGCACGACTGCTGTTGCTGGGTTTGTGTTGGTGGTGTAGAAGGTGATGGTTGAGTGCGGGGTCTCAAGAGTCGCAGAGCCATCCAGCTTGCTAGTGAATTGACCACTATAGTGCTTGTGTGCTGCTGCTGTTGTTGTTGCTGCTGTTGTTGTTGCTGCTGCTGTTGCTGCTGCTGTGCCCTCTGTTGAACAAGGTGCTGGGCTTCACGCTGCAGTTGGTAACGGTACAAGAGAGACCCCGCTACAAGTGCTGATACCACAGCCGACACTGCAACCAGCACAAATAGCACACTGAACCCTGGCACAGGAAGGCAAATGCCATACACCACCTCTTCTCGGATACGCCCTTGGAATACTGTCACTGCTTCAGCACGGGTGTCAGGTGTGAAGGCTAGGTCCACTTCTGAGATGACTTCATATAGACCACTCACACCAACATCTGCACTGCGAACTTTGCGGTCTGATACAACAACAGAGCGACGTTTGCGTTGACTTGTTGAGGATGTGACAGTGGAGCGATCAAGGATAGGCATGTCGTCATCTCCAAGTTTTCGTGGCCCATGTGGGAAACGTTCCTGACCGTCACGATGCCCAGGACGTGGCTGCTCCTGTAACAAGTTCCTACGGGTTATGTGGGAAGTGTTTGAATTTCTGCTTTGTGAACACTCTTTCTATAGTCCTAGATATTAGTCATGCATCTTCAAGACAAAAGAATTCAAAGTTAAGTTATTAAATTTAAGAGCTATCAGCTACCATAATATCACGGTTAGAGTTGTATGCTACATATCAAGAACTGCGTGAAATTGCAAAGCACAGGAGCAATGTCAGGGTCTTTTACTCAGAAGACAGACTTAAACCCACTTTTTGTACAGTGCCAGCAATGCAATACATTTGCCTTCTTAAGATATATTTAGAATAGCCTCATTTTCATGGCTTTTGTTGTTGCAAGAAACACAAACTCATATCAATGTGTCAGTTTTTAAACTTTGGGCACTATGAATTAAATTTTATAGTACAAGAATCTTCACGGTTTTAAGGTAAGTAAGTAGGAAAGTAAAGGTATCCCTGTAACAGGCCGTGGAGGCCCATAGGTTTATGAGATGTCGAGAATCCCACACATTCTAGACAACCAGCTCACAGATGTCGGTGAGGTTGTCAGCCTTAGCACCGGCCGCTCTTTAAACCCCAGAATGATTCCTGGTACTCATTTCTGTTAGAGGCTGAGTGTTGCTGGAAGGATTAGGTCAATTGAAAAATTCAATGACCTCGTAAGAAATCGAACCAGCGGCCTTCCGGCTTGTAGCGTAGTGTCTCAACCAAATACGCTACCGCGTAACCCACTAAGCATAAAGTACGTGTTTTATTTTTCTCTATACTTTTATTCAAAAACAATTATCACACCGATAAATATTTGTTTGAGCTATGTTCGCGAAACGTGCAAAAACGCATGTATGTTTTCATGTAAAGTGGTCTTCAATATTGTTCGATATAAATGAGAATTGGAATAACATAACAATTTTTCATGAAGTTCTCAGATATCAAATTTAACAAAAATGAGTCCAGCGTTTCTCGACCTCTTTCTCGCATACCGACAGACGGACGAACGTGCTGGGCGAATCTAATAGGCCCTCCGCACGGTTGAGAACGCTCCAAAAGACGCAAGGAAAATCCGCGCATGGATAACCTGGAGTATGCTGTGGTTAAAATATACTTCAAATGTTAATTTTAACTCTGTGGCATTATACATGCATTGTATTAGTAACTCAGTTGGGAACACTATTGGAATGTATTACATTTTAGAGTTTCGTGTTTCACATACCGTAACTTAATAAGAAACCGATATATTATTTGCCACACATGCGTTAATTACTTTTGTTTGATATGCAACAATAAGCTTATATTTGCTGTAAAAGAAGAATAGTGTGAGACAGATACAAGATATAGAGATCTTGCCTGGAATGGTCGCCTCAACGCTTCCCCGTCTTCCTCATCGACGGGTTTATGTTCGTGGTCATGATCTGGTCTGGCATGCGTCTGCGCTTGTGCACTGGGTGACCTGGAATCGGTGCTGATCACGACAGGAAAATGACCTGCTGCCTGATCGTCCTCTGATTCGTCATAAAGGAGCAACTCCGGACCCACAGGAGATTCAGAAACGGGCCTTGACTGCTGGTCCTTGCGCTCCACAGGTCCATGGTGTGAACCCAGTTGGCAGTGGTCCAGACACCCGTGGCGGCATATCTCTACCTTACACTTGATATGCACACTGAGCGCGTCTGGGAATTTGAATGCGTGAAAGAACGCGTACGTGATAACAGTAGCTCTTTCATCAGCTGCTCGGGCCTTGAGGAACCGGCTGATCATCTTGGGTCGCAAGACGCACCCTTGTTCATCTGACAGCTGGATCACGTGACCCCCGCCATCAGAAGCTGCGCAGGACTTCACTCTCATATCAAATTCTCCTGGAACATGTGGATAATTACGACATAAATGACGACAAAACATATAAGAACATAAACCGTACTGGTAAACTTTATGGACAGAGGTCAGACAGAAGTCGCACTATTTGGCAGACAAAATATTACTTCGTGTACGGTTCCTGTCTTCACCTTGCACAGACGAAATGGTGAATCATGATGTTTTCCTGGCCCACCGACTTTAAAAGCAATATGCACAATAAAATTCTCCCAGGGAACAACAATTTTTCTAATCGTACTGCACAAATTATTTAAGCTGACTGCAAATAGAATACCGAAATAAAAAGCTGAAAAAAAGAAAGAAGAGTCAACAGGCAATCGCTGAGTTTAATACGAAGCAAAGATGGAGACAAAGCTCAGAGAGATCGGAACAGAACGTAAACGATAAAGTGCATTTAAACCTCATTACATATAATTAATAAAGGTATGTGAAATAGTCTTTGGAACGCCGCAACGAAGGACCAGAATAATACTGGTCCTATAAGACTGAGAGAGAGGTACTGGCAATCCGAAAATAATTTGAAAATCGAGAAGCTAATAGTTCAGTAAAAACTGATACTGTAATTTTAAGAGAGGTAGTTCGATTTTGGAATTTTAAGTTAATATAAACCCAAATGTTACTGATAATGAATTTTACTCTTGAGAATTGTTCATTTAATAACATAGCAATATACGCGAAGGGGTATAAGAGTATACTTACACATATTTCAGCAAATTAAAAGAGAAAACCAGCTTCATAACAAGTGCAGATGCAACAGAAATGGAAGGAAAACAGTTGATCCTTAAGGAATTCAAATCCTGAAATTGATGAAATAACGCAGGTAGGGTGTGAAATGGATTCTTCTGGCAGGTTCTTGTAAATATAATAATGAACGCTACGGTTCCACAAAAAGTGGGAACTTCTTGACTAGCTGAGCGATTGCTTGCCTCTCAAGGATTCCACTCTACTAAGCTATATAGTTAGCTGGTTAATGGTACCTATATATTATAATAAAATGGCGATCACAGTGGCCGAGCGGTCTAAGACATGAACGGTCTTCGCCCGCTCGAAAGCTGGGATGTTGGATTCGAATCCCACTCAAGGCATGGATGTCTGTGTTTCTGTTGTCCTGTGTACAGGTAGAGAGAGGCCTTGCGAAGGGCTGATCACTCACCCAAGGAGTCCTACTTTCTGTGTAAAAAGGATTACGAAACTGAAGAAGAGACCAGAACCCAACGAATGGCTGTGAAACCATTGATGAATGAATTCTACTTTAATATTAAAAATCACAATTAGATTTTGTGAACTTACAATTACGGTATATTTCAGGGACAAAAATTAAACAGTCATCCATGACTTGTCTCTCTAAATTCGATTTTTATAAAGTTTGGGTTTCGAGGTTTTAGGACATGATGTGGCCGAACTTCTGGTGCGGTTAATTTTGTCATTTACGAAGAACCCGACCTTAATATAAAGAGCTTTTTTTTTCTACTGTCTAATATTTCTGAAGTTTAATAATCAGAAAATTTGAAACTGATATATGGATATATAATCTGAACACATGAAGAAACAGATCAGTTAATATCCACTAGGCCTACAGAGCAATGCTCGTATGTTCCTAGGAGGTCCCCTGATTTGTTTAAGAGTCCTAAAGAATGCCGTAAGTTTAAACATTAACGTGTTTCATAATGTAGCAGAGCCACATTATACAATTTAACTTACAAAGTAGTGGTATTCGAATTTTATCCCTCAACGAAACTTTCCCCTGGAAAATCAGATTGCACGAATCACAATCTAGATCAATAATTCTCTCTAGAAGTTCCTATCGAATTAAACCCTTACATGGTGTTTTACAAGTAATCCGGCTTCCGAAAGCAAAGGAGGATATAGGAAATCTACTGACCTCACTCTGTTCTTTAGCATCTCTTCCGGACAACTTCGACCTGTCCATTCTAACCTCGACCTTCTGTCTTTGTCTACATGATCTACGTGGCATTTGCATGGCTTCCGAAATGTAAAACATTTTCAAGTGTGTTAGAAATCTTAAGTTACTCAAGTTTATAAATTAAATCGGATATAAACCACTAATGACTCCGTCTTTTATTCATAAAATGGATCATACAGTCTCATATATATTTATTCGTACAGAAAGAGACTGTTATTAAATTCGTCATAAAGTGAATAATTGTCGACTGTTCAAAAAATCCTATGCTATGAAATTTTGAGATTTTCTCGGCTGTGGAGATTCATATTGTCGTCTTGTAGGTTAGTACACCGTGCATTCCGGTAAGTGATTACCATTATTTCGAAGGAAATATAGCTTATGTACTTTCTGAGAAGACAGGGATAGTAGTAGCTCCAGTATATTGGAAGTTACCAAGCAATCCAGAAAGTGCCACAACTCACACAACTCAGAAAACCATAATGTGAACGCGTGCATGAAGAGAGTGCACGAGTACTTGCTTTAGTTGTTCTACAGTTTTTGGTCATCTACCTTCTTCTGAAATTAGGTGCACTGAAATCTTACCGCTCTGACTGTTACAGCTTGTTAGTCGTGGAACTGTGCCTTACGTTTGTTGCATGTAAACGTTTGTGGTCCCTTACCGCGGTAATCGTTAATGGCCACGACGAGGGTAAGTATGGAGCCAAGAGGTACAATCCCACTGACTGGTGGCGCCCAGGGTCCTTTACCATGTTGGATCTCCATCCAGCAATCTACATTGTCACCTGTGAAAGAAAAGCACTGTCTTCATTAGGAACGATGACATGCTCCAACATTGAAAGGATGTCGCATTATCTAATTCGAATTGCATGGTTGCTATGCAACAGAGGCATGCTGACCGAAATATATTTAAAATAACGATGGTACAGTAAGATGGCAGAATGCAAGAGTTTCCCAAGCCTCAGTTCGTTAGCTACGATTCTTATGTACTAATACAAGCGAGTAGGATCCACTACCGCTCTTATAAATACTTGTCTTTAGAACAGTTGTCTGTGTAAGGCATTCCTAAACTGTAGCTAAAAAATCCTACCAATTATCTCTCCTGTGCATATCCTTAAAACCTGCCTTTACGGATACATCTTAATGATATAATTTCATTTTTATCTTAAAAACTGCAAATTTTTGCAAGTTATTGGAGCAGGTTTTGCGTCTTTTTCGTGTTTCTCCAGTGTTGGGTTCCTTAATTTTCTGGCTGTTATAGTTTATTAGAACGAATCGACCATTAAAATACATTGCCAAACATCTTCAGATTATTATAAAAGATAAAACAATTCCGTCCAGTGTGACTGGTGAAGTTTTTCTTGTTTCAATTCTTCATGTCCTTGCATGTTTTGGCAGGTCGTTTCTTCAGGGGTCAAAGGGATGTGCATTTATGCTTGAACATAAACTTTTCCCTTACGGCCCCCGGAGCTTCGACACCTTGTATACTTCTGGGGTTTAACATCTATATTGAGCACGTCTCTCCAGTTGACAGCAAACTCGACGGACTTCCTTCCTCTGCACAGACACTCTCAGTGACTTGCAGAATATCCATGGCCACACACTCGACCGCCCCATCGTTTGGGAGGTTTTGAGAAAAACGTATCACCATAATCAAGAAGTCTGATTTATTCTGTTGGATTCCTGGCCACAGAGATTTGTCATCAGACGAGACTGTCGACGCTGGTCTGCTCAGACACTTAACATCACATTGAGCCTTGGGCAGTAATGTTTCTACCTTTATTTGCGTCACCGTTTAATAATAATGGCAAAGAAGAATGGACCCAGACAATTGGAAACAAGCAACGATTGGAGAAATCGTCGAGGCATGTGTAGCGCTCCTCACACAGCTCCATCTGAACTGAGGAGGCCATCTTCGGGAGGCTTCAGATTGGTCACACTCGGCTTATGAAGGTCATTTGTTAAGAGGCGGTCCGGCACCTGCATGCAATCAGTGTAATGCCATGCTTACCGTTTCACTCCTACTGCAGGAATGCCCGCGTTATGACGAAAGTAGTCAAGCATCCCATCTCCATGGTGAGTTACGCACAATGTTAGATGTTAGATGTTAGATGTTGTGTTTCCACCGTTGAACAGGCGTTGACAGGTTTGTCTGAGTCTTATGTTCGTCTGTTAAAGTCGTTTCATCTTCACTGTTGCTCTATAATCTTCTTTTACACGGGGTTTTATTAAGGATTCTTTTGTCAAATATTTGTTGTTTTTCTTTACAATTCTAGCCATTGTCAGAAAAATTTACAGCCTGACTAGTGTCCCATTTTACGTAATTATAAAAGGCGTTTCATAAAAAGTATTCATTATTTTGATATTTATTGGTGTGTACTAGTATACAGCCAAAGATAATGATGCGCCTTCAAATTCACACATTCAAGTTTCGGCAGGGACTTTGGCTATACTGACTGGAATTTAACTTTATTTTCTTCAGTCCCTCTATGGAAATTCCGGAATAGAACCTCGATGAGGTAAAGACTGTTCGCTTCTAAATGCCAATTCTGTATTAGCCACGTTACCATTTAACTCTACATAACCTAAATACTGACACAATCGTCAACTAAATCATAAAGAACAAGAGAGTAATTAATGTGAGCTCTGAAGGAGGATCAGAACTGATAAATCGGCTTGAAATATACGACAGCCATAACAAAGTGTAAGTACAATTGCGTGTCTCATACCTCGGAAATCTAGCTGAATGACATCCAGGTCTGCGATGACCATGGGTGGTTTTGATGCTGTTTTCTCGTAGTCATTGAACCATTCACATCTGAGCCTTTTTGCCTCGTCCCACACTTCGAGCAGATCTTTGTCGTACTGTACAACTACTGTATTCTCGTAGAACTGGCCATGCAAGTCGGGCTTCGTGCCACAACGTGCATAAGCGATGCGAAAAGAGAAGAATGTTTTGCCAGTTGACGGTGGTACGTAGACACATCTCGGATCTGCATACTGCCCTTTGGATGAAACAATTCCTTCGAATGGATGTGTGAAAGAGAGGTGAACGTCCATATGATCCTTGCCGCACATCACCTCCAGAGACTGTATCGCCGGCATTCCTTGAGGGCGCTCCAGCGGCCAGATGTCCCCGTTGCCCGTCGCAAAACTTGCAGCCTGCAACAGAGGGAAATTGGTTCTGAACTACTGGATGTAATTATCATGCCAGGGTTCTCAACTTTGTTTGGGTTATTGCGCATGACACAGGCAGGGTCTGTATTATGAAAGGAACATGGTCAGAGACATTATCTCATTCACACAAATTATATTCTTCTCAGATAAACTCACATATTATTTAAAAGCCCAGAGCTTAGACAATAAGTTTTTAAGTTAGGTTTATATACAAAGTTCTGATAATCACAGTGGCCTCGCCGTCTAACGCATGTACTGTCTTCGCTTATTCGAAGGCTGGGATCGTGAGTTCGAATCCAATTTGAGACATGGATGTATGTGTATTTGATTGTTTTTGTGTTGCTCTGTGTGTAGGCAGCGGCCTTGCGGCGGGCTGGTCCCCCGTCCAAGGAGTCCTGCCGACTGAGTAAGAGATCAAGTAAAGCGGCAAAGGTTCAACAAGAGGCTGCAGAGACATAGATAAATAGAAATACCAAGTTCTACATATTTCCTTCATTTACGACAAGAACGCAACCTACACAAATAAGATATTTTCTGTGCTATTTCTTCGGTTTGTGTTAAACAGATTATTGATATAAATGTTTATGTATATGGGATTGTTATGTGATTCTGTACTTATATGTATGAGGGATAGTGTCCTATGTACAGTATCAACAACATTGAGCGGGTAGCATAACCCAAAGTAGATTTACTCATCAGTACAATTATTCGAAAATTTTGAAGCCTAATATCTTTAGTACCTGAAGTTCAGTTCCAACCTCACAGAAGCCATTCCACTACAAAGATCACTTAGTTAATGATGTTGGAAGAAATAACAGGCAAAATGGCTACATATCCTGAGACCCATATAAAATATAAAAAATTGTATGCTCATGATGCAGAGATTTTTAATGCTAAAGTAGATGGTAGATACAATAACAATTGCGATTTTGAAGGGTTTACAGATCTACTGCAAGTCTATTTCTTTATGGAAAAAGTAATTATATTGAAACTGTGAGTTTGAAATGAGTAGGAAACGCTGAGTTGCTGCAGAGCCAGGAAGGTTACTCTTTCCTTAATGTATAAAAAAGAAGAGCCCTAGAGTCATTATCTCCACAGCAGACCTAATTGCAGTGGCATTGAGTAAAACAAAAATATTAGAATAAGAAACAAAGAAGAGTTTCTGAAGTGTAATTAAATGGTCTCATTTTTCTGAAATTGGAAATGTGTTTTGAAATTTGTAACATTCACACATTAAAAAATATTCCATGAAACGAATGGTTGATTATAAATTTTGTTTTAAATTATAAAGTTAATAGAATTTTCCGTCCAGTGCGGCAAAAGAGGTCACATCACTTTTATTATTCTTGCCTTACATGTTTCGGTTTAATTAAAACCATCATCAGAGGCACTTTTCATACGGCAGTAGACACTGTTAATTAAGCTGATTTAATGTTCAGTTTTAGTTGTGTTATTCACAGATGTATGTTTCGTATTATTGTCGTAGGTTTTAGTTACGACTGCACTCGTGCAGCGGATCAGAATGAGACAATTCAATATTTAAGCTATAATTTTCTTTTTTCTGTTAATTAAAATATTGCATGGTAGGAAGTGTTTTCAATGCATTTCCCCTTGAAAAAACTTCCATCTAAGAACATTTGTTTTTGTCCAGTTAGAATTACGGGATTTCTGAATTTACCCATTATTTAGTAGTCTGGACAGAACATAGTGTTTGGGAAAGAGGCTCTGTTTGTCACCTGAAATTTTTTGAGGTTGGGGTGGGACCCACTCAGTAATGTTCCATTCGGAATGCTATACAATGACCGAATTCGAGAAACCCATCAAATCTGTGTGAAATATCGTCAGGAAATTTAGAAATGTTCTAACAAGATCCAAAAATATCACAGTAAACATGAAAGCCGAGTAAAATCATTCTTACAAATTTTACTGAAGAGCCTGTGTTATTTAAGGCTCGGTAAAGTAGTCCAATATCATTTTAAGATATACAATAAAATATATTTTCTGCCGGTCACGGTAGCCGAGCGGTCTAAGGCATGTATTGTCCTCGCTCGCTTGGAAACCGGGATCGTGGGTTCGAATCCCACTCAGGGCATGGATGTTTGTGTGTGTTTTTCTGTGTTTGTGTACAGGTAGAGGCCTTGCGACGAGCTGATCACCCGCCCAAGGAGTCCTACCGAAAGTGTAAGATCTAGAAAAACCGAAGTGAACGGAGAAGTTCATGGAGGTAGGCCTAGGCCCATTGGGACTGTAGTGCCAAGGAAAATAAAACATATTTTCTAATCTGTAGAAGCGATGATGCTGTCAGTCTGAATACTAATGAACGTTAAGTGTTTCAGACTACATAGGATACTGAATGGTCCTGAAACAAATGTTAGGAGTGGCTTAGCCTTTTTGACTCGTCATTACAAGTCTTCACACAACAAAATGCCTGCTGAATACCAATTGCAATAATTTCTAACGTATAGTATGCCTTTCACTAGTCTTCAATAGCCAAGCGGGAAAATTATTGTCTTTCATTAAGAGAATTGCTGTTTTTCACAATGGAACATGTAGAACTAAAGCAGTGTGCTTTGCAGAGAGCAAGCATTTTTCACCTACAATGCAACACAATTAATTCTTCAGTCTGCAGACGGAACAGCTAATCACTTAACATTCAAGCGTGCGGCAAGCGCCATGATTTAAACAAACAATTTACATGTATTAGTAGGTTAACGCTCTCATTAGGCTAACACGTGCCATCCGTAACTCCTGCTGTGTAGATAATATATATACTTCTGGTGGCAGGAAACATGACTGTGAATCCAGCATTCCAACTCATTCTATCTCCACACAACTGAAATTCATATCTGAATACCAGAAATTAATGCCAAGAATTAGAGCCGAAACACTTAATGCAATAACCCCTTTCTGCTAGACAGTCGACAGTATGGAAACAAAAGGGGCGGTTTCTGAGAGTTTCAGATATACACCTCGTTAATACCGCCAATAGGAGCCGAGAGAGTGCATTCGGTATAGGACTAGCTACGGGTAGGACGACATAGGTGTCGGAGTTCGAGTCCCGGCAGAGTCAAGCATTTTATCTTCTCCCAGACCGCCTCTGGGGTCCAACCAACCTCCTATCCAATCGTTACTGGGAGCTTTCTCCCCGGGGTTAAAGTGGCCAGGGAGTCAATCTGACAATTCACCTCCAATTAATGCCGAGGTCAAGGAAATTTGGAGCTATATATCCACTCCTCCATACGCCTTCATGGCTTAGTACTTAATTAGTTAAGCACAGGGACATCTTTACTTTAATACCGCCCATGGCCGCAAGATTTGCTGTAGCGAATGTTTCTGACCACACGTCACGGCCGCTTCTTGGGAACTCTATGAGTGAGCTGGCCGTTTTGACAGATTTTCTTGAAACATTACCCAGCCATTTTGATTTCATTCACAGTATCCGGTAACTTACGTGCATTTTGTAGTTCCTGATAGCTTCTTATTCTCCACACTCCTCTTTCACATTTTGACCCGTAAATTTTTCTTAAAACCCCTCTTTCCCAGGTCGTCAGAGTCGAAGCCATTATTCCCTGTCTAGTTAATGCTGAAAATTGTGGAACGTGGGTTAATTTCTCTACTTCTTATCAATTATCTGACCAGTATTAAACAACAGGGAATGGAGAATCTCCTTGTCTGATACCCCATTCTGTTCTAAAACTTCTTGACAATTTATTCTGGACCCATTCACATTTTTGGCTGTGTAGTCCCAAACTCTTCCTAAGCTACTGTGTGGACACTGCTTGATATCCTACCATTTTACGTCTGTGTCATTACTACTTTCGGCGAAATTGTTCTCTAATTGTTCTGCTAGTATCTCTCTACATTCATCTTTAATTATCCGATGCTTGATTCCATCTACGCTGAAATTTTTATTCCTAACAACGGTTTATCCCTTTGCTCTTGCTAATTATGATCAATATTTGAGTTTGACCAAATGATGATCCGAAATGCAATCAGCGCCTCTGCAAGATCTAACATCAAATATATATTAAGCATGTCGGGTTTCAATTAATACAAGGTTAATTGGTTTTTGGTTTGTTCATCCGGGGATATCCAAACTTATTTGTGTATATCTTCATGAGGAAGCTCCTACTACTAATTATCATGTTTCCACTTACTAAAAGTCTATTAGTCTCATGTCATCATCGCTTGAATCTTCATATAAGCTGTGTCTGCTTATATATTACAACTTTTTCCAGTTCTGCCTTCATATTCTCCATAAAGAATGTATTATCACATTTGGACACCTTCTGATATACAGGATCAAGTTGATCAGAAAGAGTTCTTTTCGAACTCATCTTCGTCTGCAGTAGCGCGTGAGTCGTACTGAAGAAGCTGCCTCTCAATTTTAAACTTTACATCCGTTCATATACTGGAGCAAAGCCCATTATAAAAAAGGTAAAGCTGCCCATGTAAGAGGCCGTGAAGGTCCATAGGGGTTTTGAGAATTCGAGGTTCCCACATTTTCTAGACAATCGATTCACAGACGGCGTTAAGGTTGTCAACCTTATGCTCCGGCCGCACTTTACCACCCAGGAAGATTCCTGGTACTCATTTCTGTTAGAGGCTGAGTCAACCCAGGCCCATAATGCGTCTGGAAAGTTTAGGTGAATTGAAAAAATGCAATTACCTCATCGGGACTCGAACCCGCGATCTTGCAGTTTGTATCGTAGTGCCTCAACCAACTGCGCTACCGCGTGCCCCTCAAATTGAACTTGGAATATGAAATTTGGTAGGCAGATGTAACGAAAACAAACGTTCTCCATCTGTTACAGTCTCCATTAGTTGTTGTCTAGTAACGGCTTCCAACGGCGAATGTTCCCCTACTCTGGTTTCCTGAAATATCTCAGTGTCTCAGCTACCAGCTTCTAACAGCAGCAGCTCACGACTGAAATGTAGTCCTCTGACTGCTTACTAAATCACCAATCAGCTCTTCACTTCCCTGT